TTTATTACATGTCTATAAACTTGGGGGACCTAGTGAACCTGTAATTACATTGCACTGTGACTGGGTCTAGTAAGTAAAGAAGGTTTATTAGATTTCTACAATGTACTTCATTTACTAGAATCTAATCATATGTACTCACTGTGAGATAATTTCTTAAACATAGGAATTGTAATTTATCTATATTAATGTTCCATTAAAAATGTGATTTTGAAAGAGGAGTAGAAATAATCTATACTTATAATAGTGCTATGGTTACTAGAAGAAAGGACTTTTAGGGTTTACCAATATGTGTACTTGTCAGTCCTCTCCTTTTCTCCCTAACATTTTCACACTTTGATGCACGATAATATTGCATGGCCTTGCACCACTATATCAGAAGAATTCAGGAGTGCCTGGGTATTTTTATCTTTTACCCTGACAGTTCTTCATTCCTTAATATGCTTTCTTCCCTTGCCATCTGTAGAAGAGTCCTTGGTTTTTCCCCCTTCCTCTCCTAATCATTCCTTGTTGCTGTCAGTACCTCTTAAATATTGGTGTCTTAGATAGACTTTGGTACTTTTTAAAAAATATATATTTTATTGATTTTTTTACAAGGGAGAGAGATAGAGAGTTAGAAACATTGATCAGCTGCCTCATGCACACCCCTACTGGGGATGTGCCCACAACCCAGGTACATGCCCTTGACCGGAATTGAACCTTGGACCCTTTAGTCCGCAAGCCGACGCTCTATCCACTGAGCCAAACCAGTTAGGGCTTTGACTTTCCTCCTACTTTGTGTGTGTGGTGTTTTAAAAATTGCACAATAGTCTTTATTTTTCTCAAAAAGTTGAAAAAGAGAAATGCAAGACATTTCAGTGTGTTGACTGCATTATAAAGTGTTATATGTAAACAAATTTTTTTTTAAAAGATGGTGTAGCTATAGAGAAAACAATGTTAAAGGAAATGCAAAGGAAGGAAAATTTTCATAAATCACAGAAAGTACCAGCCTGATAGCTTGCTTCCCAGTGTTTCTCAGAAGATAGAATGCAAACCAGAAGGACTGTTTTGTTTAGATTGGTTATAAAATCAGACAAAAGAAATCTGACACTTCAGAATCTATCACAGAAAATCAACTATGGAAGAAATAAAAACTTTAAAATTAAATTTAAGTATCTGGATATATAGAAAGTTCAAGTGTTTTGACAAGTATAATAGGTTTTATGTTGGTAAAGTTGGTTAGTTTTTCTAAGCTGCTACTTTATGATGTAGACAAATCTAATCATTCCAGTTGTTTTCTAAGGGAATAAGTTAGGAGCTACAATTGCAACAGTTGTAAACAATACTCTAGTAGGCCCTAATAGTATTATCTAGTAACTCACATCTTTTGAATTAAAGTTTTGGTAGATTTAGATGTTCAGTTTAAAACTATTTTTAAAAGATGGGCAGTGGGATGTGGCCTGATATATAAAAATATCAGTAAGCAAAGAAGTGACTGAATATACACTTTAGGTATAATTAACTTAAGTATCTTAGACTTAAGAACAAAGCCCTCATTCACCTAGAATATTCACTCCAGAAATATGGAGGCTATATCTAGTGAGCTGAGATGAAAGTCATGGGCATATTACTGCTCATTACCTCTATATATGGCAACTGGTAGAAGTGGGTATTTATATTAGAAATCTTAAAATTATCTTTGTATAATATTAAATTTTACAAATTTATCTGCAATCCATTTATTCCTCCCAATATTGTTCCTTCCAGGAACCTGTACATTCTTCTTTGGTAGTCTTAGGAATCTTTTTAACATAGTTATTTTTCAAGAAAAGGAGATTTTGCTTTGGGCATTAAAATACATACCTGGTTCTGCCATATTTATTATTAAATATCTCTTGAAGTATTTGATTCGTGGTTGAAGGTAGGAGTTATCCACATTGGAGGGGATTTGTTATTTTCAGAAGTCTTTTTGTTATCTTCTTGAGAAGTTCTTTTTGGGATTTATCCAGGTTTTCAAGAAACTGTTCAAATACTTTTACGTGAAGACCTAGACTGGTCTAATAATCTATGGTTCTATGTTTGATATGGTATTCAGCTTTGTTCTCCTCTTTTTCCTCTTCATTAGTGGAAATGGCATCTAATTCATGGCAGATGGAGCTTACAGTTGGAACAATAAGTGGATCAAACTGATGCATTTTCTGTAAATCAGTAGACACTGAAATTTGACCTGTTTTAGGATGAACACTAGAAGGGCTTCTTAGCAACTGGTAGAAGTGAATACTTATATCAGAAATTACGTAGCTAACATTGATATCCAGCCATGGAAAACAGTACTGGAGCATGATCTCCCACTCAAGCCAGGCTCCACATTTGTCATATTTTATGTCATTTGGATATCTGGCTACTTTCTTCAGATGGTCCTTCAAATGCTCCCATTGCTGAAGTGAACTGTGATCCTTTTAGAACAGCGGTTCTCAACCTGTGGGTCGCGACCCCTTTGAGGGTCGAACGACCCTTTCACAGGGGTCACCTAAGACCATCGGAAAACACATATATAATTACATATTGTTTTTGTGATTAACCACTATGCTTTAATTATGTTCAATTTGTAACAATGAAAATACATCCTGCATATCAGATATTTACATTACGATTCATAACAGTAGCAAAATTACAGTTATGAAGTAGCAACAAAAATAATTTTATGGTTGGGGGTCACCACAACATGAGGAACGGTATTAAAGGGTCGCGGCATTAGGAAGGTTGAGAACCACTGTTTTAGAAGCTTTGTTGAAGGTCATCATGAATTTTGTTTCAGGAACACTAGCTTAAAATCTATCTTGACCAACCAAGGCATATTCTTCTAAGTATTTATTTATTATGTTTATAGATTTTCTGACAAAAGGGTGATTTTTTTCATTTTGGTGCAATTTCTTTCTAATATCTTGACCACCCTTTACAATACTCAAATACTCAACTATTCCCGACTGTACTGTGGAGGACAGTTTTCTAACTGATTCATTATAGACCCAACAGTGAACACCTCTTCTTCTAGAACAGCGGTTCTCAACCTGTGGGTCGCAACCCCTTTGGCGGTCGAACGACCCTTTCACAGGGGTCGCCTAAGACCATCCTGCATATCAGATATTTACATTACGATTCATAACAGTAGCAACATTACAGTTATGAAGTAGCAACGAAAATAATTTTATGGTTGGGTCATAACATGAGGAACTGTACTTAAAGCGCCAGAAAGTTGAGAACTACTGGTCTAGAACATACCCAGAGACAATGTTTAAATTCATAGTCCTCTTTCAGTGCTCGGTTGATGATGTGTATGGCCATTGTCATGAGGGTCCAGCACTTAGAATATATGTCTGCAGAACTACAACATCTCTTCACATCATCATAGTTTATGTCAATGTCAAACACCAGTTCGTTTTTTTATGATCCTGGAAAGCTCTCAGCTTCACTGTATTATGTTTATTGAGTTTGTGGGAATATACTGTACCTATATCAATCTTGTATGGATTCAAGGTTGTTGAAGGATTGGTAGCGAAATGTAAATATCATCTTTTAGTGTGAATGAAAATTAACGGTGTTGAGAGTAATTCTCTTTATCACTCTGCCATAATTGAGCCAATGATAATATTAGGTGAAGAGAAAGAGCTCCTAAAGCTTAAGCAGCTTGGGAAGCTCAGCGGGGTCAGATGCCTCCATGGAACTCAGTACTCAGCCCCAGTAGGATAACCGCAAGAATTGGAACCACACTGGAGCCTCTACTTTGTGTTCTTCATGGACAGTTTCATTTGTCAGAATTGTAGCTACCATGTATATGCCAATGGTTTCCAAGTCCATGTCTCTAGCCCATTCCTCTCTTGAGCTCTAAACCAAATCATTACCTGAGTAGGTATTCAGTAAACATTTGTAAGAATATATGACTGTTTAGAACCTAACCAAGCATCTCTCCCTCTCCCCCAAATCAGCCTATCCTCTCTATTCTTTTTGAAATGACTTCCTCGTATCCATACTTAACTTGAATGTCTTTGACTCATTCTGCTTTTTTTCACTTGACATTTACTCTATAATTACGAGTTCCTATACAGGTTGGGGGAAAGGACTGACTTTGGTGCTCTGCCCCCATCCTCCAAACCTGCTTTGATTGCATTTCATTCAGGCTTCTAATTTAGATCTAATCACAGTGCAGTGTAATTACAGATTTGATTTTTGGTCTCTTCCTCTCTCCCCCCCAAGTTTGTAGGCATATAATAAATATTTGTTCCAATTTGTTTTATTATTTCCTTTCTCAAGTTTGTATTAAATTGAGTGGCTGATGTTATATGTATTGATATGCTTCATTGTTTATGCATCTTAAAACACATGCTAATAGAGTATTTTTGAACCTTACCCATGAAAAGAAATCCCAAGATTTGAGTGATAAATCAGTATGGACAGACAGTTCACAGAATTGTTTCTTTGTAAATCCTTTAAAACTTGACCATTCACAAAAGGTTAAATGTATACAGAGTGGACAGCAGAAGTATCTTTGAGGACATAAATAGTGCTTGGTACATTAAATGATAAAATTATATCAGAGGACTATAATATGGTCAGTGGTGTATATATAGCCAATATAGAAATAGGTAAGGTGTTATTTTCTTTGATTTGCCTAGGGTAGTAAATTAATGTATTAAAGTCAGAATGTATCTTGTTATGTTAAACTATTTAATTAGGTACAGCAGAAAACAAAGCTTTTTTCATTTGATTAAATTCTTTAAGTTATTTTTGGTTTGGTGTAGGCATAATTATTTTTTCTGGATTGGGGATTAAAAGGAAAATCTATGTTAAGAAAATATTTAAATACAATATTTTGTGTCAGTGTGATGGCTGATGTTTTTGATCTTAGGAATCATGCCTAGAATCTACTCCTTTTTTCTGAGTCATGTTATAATTAATTAAAGAGCTATTGAAAGTGAATGTATAGATGACCACTTATCTTCTTCTGCTTTTTTGTGCCTCTGTAGGTACATGGACTGTATCGCACAACAGGTGCTAGTTTTGAGAAGGCCCAACAAGAATTCGCATCAGGTGTGATGTCCAACAAAACTGTCCAGACCGCAGCTGCAAACGCAGCTTCGACTGCAGCAACTAGTGCAGCTCAGAATGCTTTCAAGGGTAACCAAATTTAGAGAATCTGCAAACAATACACTGTTACCTTTTGACTGTACTTTTTCTCCACTTACTGTATTCTATAAATATTTTTATGTTCAGTACACACAGCATGTATATCTCCTATTTACTTGTTGCATGGGCAAAAACCAGAAAAACTTCCTTGTCTTATTATTTACCTAACAGTTTCTTAAGATTTTAGTGCCCCTTGCAGAAAAAAATATTACATGCTAAATAAATATTCTCCATATTTTGGGGGTGATGAATGTTCAGCAAATTATTTCAGTGACAAGACACTAAAATTAATATGGTACTTATGATTAAAAATGCACTTAGTAATAGCTGCAGTCATTCTTTCAAGAATCTTAGACTTAAGGATTACACATTGGAGCAGTAAATAGATGCTTCATTTCTTTTTTCTTATTTATATTGCAAGAAATAGACCAACAGAGACTTGTGGATTTTTAGATTGACTTGCTTTTTTTTAGCAGTTTGTCACCAGTGAAGAGCCTATGTGCATTTCGTAGTAGATAATGTAAATTTTATCTTTTTATTTTCTTTTTTTAGAGTAGCTGATATTTTGATATCATTCTATGATCTTGCATGGGCACCAGGTTTTTTAAGATAATTAGTATTTTGGGTTCTGCACTGCTTATGGTTGTACAATTGGGGAGTCATTTGTAAAATTTTAAAAGTGATTTTCTGTAATAGTTTCTTTTAAATAAAAGTTTATTGGGGTGCAATATGAGAATATAATATGTAGTGCATTATCCAAAAGAAAAGGCAGAAAATTGATGGAATAGAATGTACTGATGAGAATACCTTTTTTTTTTTTGAATTTTCAGTATTCATATCATAGTAAAATATTACCGTATGAAACTTTGGTATATTCTGTGGCTACTCTTTTTAATTGAACTGAGATTATGTTTGGCAGCTCTTTTTGTGTGTGTGTGTAATTTTTAACAGAGGTATTAAAGTCTAGTCTTAACTCCTTGTCCATAAAGAACGTACGGTATTTAAGGGATTTTTTTTAGTATCTCATCTTTAGTGGCATTAAATATTAAAAGACGCTGGCATTTTACATATAATTGAATTTCTAATACATATCAGTCTTTCAAATTTTGAGACAGACTGAATATATTAAAATTTTTCAGTAATAGAAAAAAGAAAACATTTAATTTGCACCAAGCAAGAAAATATACAGTTGAATGCATTAATTATGAATATAATCACTTTAAAATTATTACTATGCAGCACAGGAATTCATTCTTATAGTATATTTGGGTTGAAAGTTTGAATCATCTTTAATACTGATTAAGAGACTCAATACATTTGTAAAGTCATGATATTGTGTTTTACAAGTAATTAGCTAATTTAAGATTACAGAATAGTGATTTATTCAACTTGATTTTAAGTAAGGATCATTTATTGGATTATATTATTTGATATTGCACATCCCTTAAAAAAATCAGATGGGCACAAATGGTTAAATCATTTTCATTTTCTCCCCAAATCTGAAGTTAAAATGAAGTCCATGCTGGGGCTGGATGGTGAGTTCTTACTATTTATGAAAGAAGCTTGGCATGATAGTGCTACTAGGTGACATAGATCCATCCCAGTGGTGTTTACAGATTTATTTGGGACTTTATTGAAGTAATATACTTGGAATGTATTTCTTTTATTTTAATGAAAATAGGCTTTAGAGTATGAATTTAAAGCTGTTTGTGAATATTTCTGATCAGCGATAATCTCCACCTACTTTCTCAACCAAATAAGCCAGTCAAGTTTTTCAGAATCCATAGTCTTATTGAAAATTTGTTTCATCAGTGTGCTCTGAGTGTGGATTTTACATATATTGAAAATGTTCACCACAAAATACAACAAGAACACCATGTCCATATCTCAAGCCCATTTTTTATTTTTCTTTAAAGTGCAAATGAAAGCTACATCATAGAGACTTTTGAAAAATGCTGAGATACTTTCCTTCAAGAACAGGAATACCTTTATCCTGTAGAACTCCCCATTGTTAAATAGCAAAGAATAATTACAACCAACAGTATCTTTTTGTGTAGATGGGGAAAATGTTGTTATAAATTCAGTTATCTGGGTTAATACAAGCTTATGAGAGAATTGTTTCTTAAGAACATAAATGTGCATTAAAATGAGGGCAATGCTTACAGATTGATAAGGTGTAGGGATTTTAAATTCTTATATTTTCTATTAACAAAATCAGTAAATAGTCACATTTTCACCCAGCAAAAGATTGGCATTTGTTAGTGTTTTATGCTTCATATTAACATTACCCATTATCAGAATCATGAAATGGTTTTTTACAGTGTAAGCACCCATGTCATTTTTTAGTCTGCAATATTAAGTGGTGGCTGTTTTTATTTAAAACTGAAGTTGGAACACTGGAAAATCCTTCCTCAGTGACTTGTAATTTGGGACTTGGATTATTTATGTAGGGATGTTTGTATATTTTGTCAGTGAGTAATACTGCGCTGCCATCATGGTGACTGTCATGGTTCTATATAAATGCCCTCCATCTGTCCCTCTAATGTTGCATGTCTCCGGTGGTTTGGAAGTTTTGTATATTTATTGTATTAACACAGAGTGTTCTAAAATAAAATGCTGTTTAATGGATGTTTGTTTGTATAATTTTAAATACTTCATTAGCATTTCAGAGGCAGAAATTATGCTGAGGGTTTAATGTATATAGAAATTCCACATTTGAATTTAAAAAATAATCTGTATAATTCTGTCATTTGCTAACAAAATAAACATATAAAAGATTAGTTAAAAACTCTCATCAACATAAAATGACAACTTTTCTGTTGCATTAGACCTTTATAGGTAAGGGATATGAGCTTCACTCATAGTAAATATTTTGACCACTTTAAGGTCAATATACACAGACTTCCTAGAGATTTAAAATGGAAAAATGTGTTTTGTGGTTCAGATTTTTCCTAGTGGGTTAGAATAAGTGCCTGTGTTTTAATAGGTCATTGATGTGAGTGAACTTGTGTTCTGTTTCCTAACCTCGCTATCTATTGCTGTTTTATGTATCAATGAAAATACCTGTTTGATTTTTCACTGGTTATTTAAAGAGGATGTTAAATCATGTTCATGATGAATCTTATATTGAGAAATATGTGTTCAATTAAAATAGGAACAGCATTTTCAATTTTCTGGGTTTACCTAAAAAATGAGTTTGAATTGTCATTGGATATATCTCCTTCTATAAATCATGTTGTGATAATGTATAGTTTGCATTTTTGAGGGAATTTATGTTAAATTTATTAGTTGTTTCTGTAAATTATTTGTAGTAGCATAATGTTTTTATCTTTTTCTGAAAACACTGAAATTAGCATTTAATTTTATCTTTCTTGGTAAAAATGTATATTTAGACTGTTACTATATAGAACTTATCATTTTATCCATTTTTCCCCTTTAGAATTACCATGGCTGTCACACACCATTTCACTGTATCTCCTTCCATTTTTTCCTTAAGGAATATGTTTAGAGGAATCTGTTGATTTCCTGTGATTAAGACCTTTAGGAGTGAAATAAAAGTGGCTAATAAATTAATGATGGTTAAAAATAAAAAAAATACCTTATTTGATGCCCTAACTGGTTTGGCTCAGTGGATAGAGTGTCAGCCTGTGGACTGAAAGGTCCCAGGTTTGATTCTGGTCAAGGGCATGTACCTTGGTTGTGGGCACATGCCCAGTAGGAGGTGTACAGGAGGCAGCTGATCGATGTTTTTAGCTCTCTATCCCTCTCTCTTCCTCTCTGTAAAAAATCAATAAAATATATTTTTTTAAAATACCTTATTTGATAAATTTTGAAGTACCATACTATAAATTTATTTAGAATAATATGTTTTAAAATATTAGAGTTGTTTTAAGTGCTTGTTTATTAAACTAAAAAGTTGTATCTCGATGGTTAAATATTATGGAAAGTGAAGTATTTCCATTAGAGATTAGGTTATTGATTGGTATTTTTAAACCTATTTTATGGCTTTATCACAGTATATAGAGAGCAAGAAAGAAATCTATCAAAATTTACTAAGCCAGGCATTGCCACTGTTCTGTCCTATATAGTAGTAGATACAGTATCTTTCATTGAAAGATTCTAGGAAAATAGGGAAAGACTTTTCTCTTGTGTTCCTACCATTCCTGAGGGTTCCATATTTACCATTTAACCTTGTGATTTTGGTAGGACAAAACTTACAAACTGTAGAATTTTCATTGGCACTGTTAATGTTTTCAAATGGCAAGGGACATGGGAGCCACCATGTAGCAATGCAGTGAGTATTAAATTTTATGTTTATCTAAATCTTGATTTGTTGTTCGGCTCATATCTTTCTGGGCTTGGCATGGCTGATGTAACTAAAACCATCTTGCCACTAAAACCCATTTTATCTTTCCTCTAATGGGGACAGAAAATAATTAAGTCTCTTCTACCTAGTAATGTTTCACATACGTTATGTATTATCTTCTTTTCATTTAAACAGTCCTAATTTATAAAATAATAGTATGCAAATTTTATTTTTTTAACACTTAGATATAATCCCACAATTCTCCATAACTTTAAAAATATTTTGTGGGTCAGTGATTCTCAAGATAAATCATGGTTGTGGTAGTTGTTACTATTGGCAATTTGTACGATTCTTCAGGTGTTTTGGGGCTAGGAAAAAAAATTGCCCAAATCACTGTGTTTTATCTGGTGATCAGGGTGATTCCTACAATGTTATAGTCACCTCCATGAAAACTGAGCACACTGGGCATACACATTTCTCAAACTCATTTTTTTCTAGTATGAAAGTAATATATGTTGAACAATTGAGAAATATGGAAAATGATAAATGAGAAAATGAAAATAATTTTTCATTTAGTAATAGCACTGCCAATATTTTATTGGATTTTTCCCATTCTTTTTCTATGCATACATAGTTTATGGAGTGAAGGGATATAGCAATGTTTAACTTTTTGAATTCATAAAATTAATACACTTCAGTCTAAATTATAGGAAATATTGGTAAGCAAAAGAAGGTAAAACTGCTCATAATTTTATACCCATAAGTAACTACTATTAATATTTGGTTTATGTCTTTCTATTTATTTTCTCAGAAGACAACTTTTTCCCTAAAATCAAAAAATAAGATTTCCCTCTATATTGTCATAGATCCTTTTAGGGATGTTTATCAAGCTCTCACATGCCCATTTCTTTGGGGCCCCTGAACACTCCATTGGTACTGGATGTCATCTAGCCATGGTGGACCCATGCTTGGCTCATTACATTTTTTTCCTGGGTAGATGTGTCCAGAACTATACTGTTTTAGTGGCAAGATGGTTTTAGCTGTACCACATTCTTCCATGAGGAAGGAGTCACCATCAAGCTGCAGAATGAAGCAGACATCAAGGACAAGTGGGATGGAAGGACATAGGAAAAAACCTTGATAGCTTTGCATTTCCTGTATGGGGCCTGACTGCTCACCCATATTTCGTCCCATTAATCCCAGTAATATTTTTATTCTGTTTTCTCTCTGAGCTACTTTGAGTTGGTTTCCTGTTACTTTCAACTGGAGAATTTTAACAAACACAAAGGTTTGTAATCTTTTTGCAATTATGATGTAAATAATATGTTGAACTTTATTTCACACTAGAGTCCCGGTGCACGGATTCATGCACTGGTGGGGGCGTGGCCTGTGGGGATCAGCCGCTGTGGGAGCGCCGCTCATCCTCGTCAGCCAAGTGGCTGTGGACCCACCCTCTGAGCGGCTGCTCCCTGGTCCGGCATCTTCCATGGAGCCAGAGCCCTCACCTCTCCAGGGGACCCGGTCGGGGCTGGGCCCAGGGACAATAGCACTGAGAGGTGGTGGAGTAGGCCTCAGTCCCACAGCGGCCACGAACCTGCCTTCCAGCCTCCCGGGTCATCTCTGCAAGCCCAGCAGTGGTGCTGCACAGCCTGCAGGTGTCTGGAGGAGGTGGCAGGGGCGAGGAGGCGATGATTGCAACCTGAGTTTCTGCCTGTTGGCCCGGGGTTTGCAACGGGAGCAGCTGCTCATTCTGGTCAGCTGAGCGGTGCTCCCACTGTGGTAGCGCACTGACCACCGGGGGGCAGCTCCTGCATTAAGTGTCTTCCCCCTGGTGGACAGTGCGCATCATAGCTATTAGTCAACCGGTCGTTCTGGTCGTTCTGCCGTTGGGTCGTTGGGCTTTTATTATAGAGGATAGGATTGCTGAATGCATTTCTATAACATTTAATAGCTGTGCGGCTAGCTACCTTTATATACATGTATCATAAACTATTTTTGAAGTACTATTATTCCTTCAGGTTCTGTTTTTTTATTTTTTTATTATAAATAATTTATCAAGGAATATATTGTAGCTAAATTTGGGGACCCAGGCTTTTTTTCTTAGGACAGATTGCTGGGTCAAAGCATAGGTTCACTTTTTTGAGACCTTTGATGTGCATTGCCAAATTGCTCTCCAGAAAATTGTATCAATTTATATCTCCATCAGCAGTGTACGAAAGGACCTCTTTATCCACACTCTACCAATATTGGATGTCCCTTTTCAAAAAGTCTTCCCTTTTGTAGGTTTTGACAGATAATCAGGTGGTTTATTTTCTGAGCATTCTGGTTTCCCATAGATGGACTCGTGCAATACTACCTGTTTGTTTTTTCTTGGTTTTGATAACTAGGAGTGACCAGGTAGCCTACATCCACAGTGAAATCTTCTACTTCCTGAAGCTCGAAGCTAAAGATGATTAGTACAAGTTGGAAAAAGAAAAGGCGGCCTTAGGCAGCCAGCCATTGAGCCTCTCTAAGTAAAATTAGATTGGTTTTAACACCAGGTGATGTTAATCTTCACAATTTTTTTAGAACTCTTAATTTTTGAGATCAATTCTAAATGATATTCTGTCTGGACAGACAGAAGATTTTCTTAATTTACTTCTAATAACTTTTACTCATTGTGGGCATACTGTATACCAGAGACTATACTAAATGCTTTACTTATGGTATTTACTCCTCACACCAAACCTATGATGTGATTTCTATTGACCCAATTTTTATAGAGTAGGAAATTATTCTAATCACCCAGTGAGAGAACAGAATGCCTGTCTCTTCTGGGAGAGGCAGCTAGAACCATGTCCCCTGACTCCTGCCAAGTGTGAGGCTGCTGCTGCCATGTGGTGCCACCTCTCTCCAAGACCCTGTTTCTTTTCCATCCTTCCACATTTCCAGTAATTCATATCCATCTTTTAGGGACAGTGGATCCTAGGGAAAAAAATCAACCAAGAAAAAATTACAGCATATATTTCTGATGTCTCCAGACCAAGGCCTACCTCCATAACATGTGAGTACCTGCTGACTGCTCTTCAGCAGTATTAACTGACTAAATGGTCTTTTGCTTCTGTATGTGTGTTTGGAGAAACTTTAATTGAAGACAAATCCCTAATTATTAGTTTAACTCTGAAGAAAATATGCCTTTTATGTAATTATAACAGCTGCTTATCCTGGATAAGAGATTATAAGAAAATAACAAAAACTTGTCAAACTGTCATTTGTTTTACTACTGTCATATACCCAATGGATTTTTAGTGACTGTTTTGAGGATTGAGTAAATTGAGAAACATGGTCCATCTTCAGAAGTATGAAAAATGACTAGGTTTTTCTCTGAAAAGGGAAGAAAGAGCAGTGTTTTCATCAGTTGTCATCCTTTGGTGTGGCCTTTTTTGAATTATAATTGGAAATTATTTTAGCAGTTTATTACACACAGATGTTGGCATCCTAAGGGTTTTGTATGGGCCTGCTTTTCATCCTAAATATTCCAGGTAGAAGGAAATGACAGCTGTTTGAGAATGTAGACTTTGGTGTCAAACCTGTATTTGAGCCTTGACTTTGCCACTTACTGGCTTTTTTTACCTGGGACAAATTACTTAATTTCAGTTAAGTTACTTAGTGACAGTTAATTTATCTATAAAATGAGGATAATAGTTTCTATTCATCGGGTTTTGATGAATAAATGAATTATATGAAGTGCTTAGCACAGTACTTGCACATAGAATGTGCACAATAATTAAAAACTCTTGCTGTCTGCCCATGTGTATTGATGGCTCCCAATTCTCTTATCTCCAATGTGGTCTTCTCTCCAAAGTATGTTCCTAGCTGCACACGGGACTTCTCCATTGGCAGCCTAAGCTGGACTTTCCCACCTTCCCTGTCTCTGTTTCTCTTGGATTCCTGATCTTGGTGGTGGCATCACTTTCCTTCCTGTGCCCAAACGAAATACCTGGGAGACATGTTGGACTCTTTCCTTTTCTCCCTTTACCCCTTCTAGTCAGTCACCTGACTATCCATTCTTTCCTCCTAACATTTACCTAATGAATCTCATTATCTTTGCTGTCACTTGCCTTAATTCAGGCTTTATTCTCTTGAGAATACATTATAGTGGTTTTCCCCAAACACAGGCAGTTGGTGGACTGCTTGCCTTCAGGTGTTAGATTTTTGAGGCTATTTGACTACAAAAGCCAAAGAGCTGTTAACATCTAATTTTTTATTGATTTTTCTTTTCCTATGTGGTTTTGCTACTTCCTCTTATTTATTTATGTTTTTATCTATATCCTGTGTCCCTAAGCAAAGTGAACAGTTCATGTCTTAAAGATTTATCTTGCAGAACTCTTCAGGGTGAGGAGGAAGCTGCAAGGAAGAAGATAGTGGTAGGGACAGCAGTAGGATGGTCCCAAACACATGACTATGACTAAGCAGCTGATAGGGGTTATGAAATAAAGACAATTATTGGTTCTTGTTGATTTAAAGAGTAGGCAAAAGTTTTCTTTGATGATCTTATTCTTTAGTGTTTGAGTTGAAAAAGGTACTGAATTATTGGAAACTACTGAAATGACCCACTTAAGGAAATATCAGGCATAGTCAAGACTGTGCTTAGGTGGCTTTATGTAAAGCAAAGACTTTAAGGAGAACTAGGAGTAAGTTGAATGTGTTCCGGAAGGGCAGTCATGGCAAGTTCATCCAGCAGCAAAATTGCTAAGTAAAAACTAAGGATGAGCGGGAAGCACACGCGAGGGTTCCCAGCCTCTGCTGAAATTTAAAGCCAGAGTCCTTTCTTTTGTGGATTAACTCTTCAGAATGATGTAATAACAGTTGAAAAAGTAACTTGAAATTTCCAATTTTGCACAGGTAATTTAGATCATACTTTGAAAAAATTTTTCTTTAGTGATTTGGATAATTCGGTCAGCTTTTAATTTTGGTTTCTATTAGAAACCTGGAAGTTGTCAGGTATGTTTGGAAACCAAAGCAGAAATGTAGTTTCAGCTGTCACAGGCCTTAGATCAGGAGAATAACCATTTTTGTTTATTCTATCAAGTGAGTGCTTCATGAGATATAGAGTTGAATAAGAGTTTATGAAAAGGGTTGTTGGTGTCATCTTTGAGAATTCAGCTTCTGGATGAGGCTCTTTATGGGCAGGTTACTTTCAGGAAATGTGGATATGGAACTGCTCCATGTTTGGCTTTTAATTTTGGTGTTTTTGTTGGAATAGAAGAGTGTGACCTTCAGTAGACCTTTTTCTTTGTCATTATTATACATATTTCTTTTTTTGTAAAGCCTTGGGTGCTTTGGAGCATTTTCATAATTCTTAGTTTTACTTTAAAATTAAGACATTTGTATAGTATTTGAGAGGGTTTTTCCCCCTCTTTATAATGACATTGATGCTTCTCTGAGGAATAAATATATACAGTACCTATTTTGAAGTTAAAGCTAACCTAAGGTAGGTATATATATCTGTTACTAATGAATGGAATAGTTGAAATACCTGAATATCTTTTTTCCTGATCAAATTATATACATCATAATTGAAAGAAATAGACTTAAAAGAATCAAAATGAGTTTGCAAAATCTGGTTTAATTCAGATCTGGGGAAAGGAAGGGAGCAACATGTTGTGAAAATACATATGCACAGGGACCTAATCAATGCTAGACAAACAATGTATTAGTTTACAATATAATAGAATAACCACAAATTTGAAGGCTCAAATCGAGTCCATCAGCGGTAAATACAATTTCATATTTGGCTCAAGTGGCTGTTGAATTATCAAGTGGTGCCGAGTTCCTCCAAAGCACCTAATGACTCCCCCCAGACTTGGAAGGAGTTTCACCACAGTCTCAGAAGAAATCCCAGTCGTGCCTGTAACGCTTTTGGCCCTTGGGAGTCATTGCTGCCCAAATACAAATGCAGGCCAGGGATTTCCAGTGGCCACGTGTTATTGCACAGAGAAGTCTGTTCTAGGCCAGACTCTTATGGCTAAGAAGGTGTGAGATCAGCCCTTAAATAGTGGTCTAGCATTAACATGGTCTATCAAAGCATGTTAAGAAATAGCTCCTTAGTGATTATGTACCAGCTACTAGTTATCACACTAACAGAAAAGGCAAAAGGGCAGCTTCACATTTCACATGAAAGACTAGCATTAACTGGGCCTGCTTGCCAGCTTAACGTTCACATAAATCTAGTGATTATTTTAATTTAGACCCAGAAAAAATGATTTCATACCAGTCTTTTCTTCACATAGGTTTGTGTAGCATTAAAATCATTATGGGTTAAATACTAGGCCATAAAGGCAAAACTGTTTAACTCTCCTTTGCCAGAGCAGAAACAAGCCCTGTTCTGACGCCTGTCCAGTTTCCAAAAAACAAAACATACATACACCTTTGTTATTGCACATCTTTCACACAGACTTGTGTATGTATAATATATATATATTTTAAATATGCTACACATAAAAAAAGACTATGGCACTTTACAGAATACGTGTTTTAACAAAGATCATTACACCACAGATGTTTGAAAACTATACAAAAACCCTTACACAATTAATGTAACATTGTTGAATTAGCACACAGGTTTAAAGAATCCACAGAGTCCAAAACAAGTATTTCTGCCTTTTTGGAGTCCATTGAGAAGCCCAGCCATCACAAACTTTAAGCACAAATGCAGGCAAAAATAAATAGGACTTTTCTGGTAGTTGTAATAGTGCAGGTATATTAGATTTTTAGACTGAAGCCATTAGGGGATAGAAATTAGAAAAATAGGTGTGGGTCAATCAGTCTAATTATTTTGTACACATTTATTTCAACATATTCCTCATATTTAGTGTGTGTGTGTGTGTGTTTTTAATCAGCTATGCAGTTTTGGTCTAGATTTGCATGATTTTGGATGTTCCATTCCTTCCAACCAAAGCTTGGCTAGTGAACTGAAGGTTTAAAAGGCCCAACATTACCGCTTACTAGGTCAGTGTTTGAGTAGTTTCAGTGGTTTGGGGTTTTGTGTGTGCATGTGCTTTTTGTCTTCTGTAGCATTGAGAATAATGAAGTAGACACTGTCAAGTGACTTTTATTATCAAGGTGATCTAGGGATACACTGCCACCTTAACCAAGGAGCAGTTGGGCAGTAGGGATGAGGGACTTGCTCAAAGGATCCTCTGGGCTATGACAACTTGTCTGTAAGGAGAGTGAGAATGTAAAATTCGTGTTAGAAAACGGGTTCTTTATCTTATACCAAAAAAAAGTAGAGTGAATCTTCTGATGATACATTTAAGAAAAATTGGTGTTTTTATCAAAATTATTTGCCTGATGAAGCGAATTTCTTTTTTTAAATGAAAATTATTGCCAGGGCTTGCTGGCATCGGGACTTGGTTAGAGCATATAAACACTCCATCAGGTACAGGAGCCAAATCCAGTGGCTGCCATAACCTATTTCTGTGTGGTGTCAGAGATAGATTAATGTTTCCTGCACCCTTCCCTAGGCTGTTATGAGGCTATGGATTTACCCCTTCTCTTGTTAAGGAAAGTCATAAGATTTACATTTTGCTTATTCTGAACTTTGGACTAAGAGTGGTGAGCTCATTAAGGCCTGGTTCCACATCCTTTCTTCTCCTGCCCTTAACTCTTAATCTATAAGAAAAGATGGTTTCTGGTATAGGCCAAAGGCCAGAATAGAATGAGACTTTAGTTGTTCCATTCCATCGACACATAAAGGAATTAGTTTTTCTGCACTAGGCATGGTTATAAAATCTGAATCAGGGTTCTATGTCTGGTGGCACTTAGTACATAATACCTTGCCCAAACAATGTATGTAATTATTTGTTAAATTTTCAAAATGAAGCAAGCCCTCAAGTGAGCAGATTCATAAACCAAAAGAGACCTAATCCTTCCAGAAATCTGGCAGGTCCATCCCACTTGCTTAAGTTGTTATAGAGTGTTTCTGTATCATTCTTCAATTCTGATCTTAGGATAATATCAGACTAGGTTCTTTCTGGCCACTTTGATCATTTCAAAGTAAAT